CTATGTTGCGAGCTCCAAGACCCCCACCTGCTATCATTTCTGGGCGGGGTTAAAGAAAAAAGAATGATTGCAGGAAATGCAATCATTTGACCCCCCCACCCCCCCTGCAATATTTCCTGTGCTGGGATGCACACGCGCGCGACAGCCCTCTCAAGAGGCAGCGCACGTGATGCAAGCACCCCTGACGTGGCACATGCAGACCTGTGGTCGCCGAGCGGATCAAGGTGCACAATTTCAAGCCCAGCAGGAAATCGGGGCATGCCCCGGGTGCAGCGCGACGCGGATTATTTTTTCTCTCGGACTTTTACACCTGCACGCTGGTCCTCCATCCAGTCCCCACTAAGCACACTACGCCAGGCTACACCCCTACAAGCTGCGGTGGCCCTGTCTTGGGGCCACATGGCGTCAGCGCCACTGGGGATCTGCGGCAACGCCCCGCGCGGTAGTGTTCGCGAGCCATTGTTGGGGCACGACGTGCCCTTCAGGGCCCACGGCCTCGCGCGCGACTCGGCACCAAGCCCATTCCACGATTTTAGCGCGCCGAGCGGGCAGCCCAGTCCGGTAGCACGCAAGCGCATGGTCCGCCAAGGTTGCCAGTGCATTGCCCACATCCGTGATTGGATGGGTCCCCGCAGATTCGCGGAGCCAACGGCAACGGCAGCCGCAGCCGGCTGCGCAGCGCGATCTGCATGCTTTCGGGGGCCAAGGCAGTGTGGGCATCGCTGGGGATGGCCGTGAGCCATGGCACGGTGAGAAGGGGGCAAGCAAGGCAGCAGCACGCGGTCGCAGAGGAAAAGGTTACGAGTGCGCGACGCGCGGCGTTGCCAACCGTGTCTCCATTCACCGAGCTCGGGGGCGTCGTCACCGCACACGGGGTTTCAACCGCGCGCATCGTCTGGCTCTGACACGGCAAACGGTGCCAAGCACCTTGCGCCTTCGGCAGCGCTCAGAGCCAACCTATACACGGCTTGAACAAGTGAACTCACAGCAGCCATCGGCAGCGGTAGGACTCGTGTTGACAGCAACGGCAGGCAGTGGCAGCACCAGCACCAGCAGACACACGATAGCAGCAGGCAGCAGCGATGACGTGACACCCACAATCGAGCAGCAGGGCAGCCGCAGAGCCAGCAACGACGTCCATCGTCGCTGCAAGTTGGTCTCCAGCGCAATTGGCCAACGAGTATGGCACGCCGGCCCCAAGCCCTGCTTTGTGATCACAAGGAGTGAGGACTTCCAGCCATCATTTCTGCACATTAATCAATACTGTTACCACGGTAGTCCCCTCCGCATCTTGCAATTCTTGTCTGTTCAATCAACAGCTATGATGCCACAGCTTCCGTCCCGTCTTTTAGCATGTTATTGGAAGTTCTTCCATCGGGCACCGCGCAGGGTTAAGCGGTTAAGGGCTTTGGCTTTGGGCCAAGTTGAGCCAAACGTTAAAGAATCAAGGTGAGGAGCTTGCGTTGCGGGCTGAAGGTACTCGTGGCATCCATGACTAGTTCTAAGCCCCTAAGGTGCAGTCATATCGAGCTAGGCTGAGCCTGGAAACCAAGCCCTTGCCAAGACCTTTCCAATGAGCTTCTGAATTCGTCTTGCGCAGCTTTTTCCAGCGCGACGACGAATCCAAGGTCCTCGCACCAAATCGGCCTGGATGCAGAGAGCGAAATGAGATAGACCTACAGACTGTAGAGGCGTATATCATAATCAGTTCCAAACATGAAGCTGCGGTTTTGAGCTCGTGTGATTCCTGCCTTGCCCCAGAGCTTAGTTACCCTTCCAGATTTTGGCAGGCCTGCTTCAGGGATTATCGCTGCCGCCCCCTCCGGCACCGTGACCAGCGCCACCAGACCCGGCACCACCACCCAACTATGCTCCTCTTCTTAGTGTAAGATCTGCAGTCCTTGAGCCCTAGGCGCCTCCCAGGCTCAGCGGCGCAGCTGCAGGAAGGAGGCGCCCCGCAGATAAGACTTGGCTTTCATCAGGCCCTGGCTGCGGGGGGATGTACCGCTTACACTGTCTAGCACACCGCACCAGGTTTAGGTCTCTGAGCTGAGGAATGCCTAAGCCCTTGGGCAGTAAAATGATTTGTGCAGTGCAACGCCACATCCCGTCGTTTTTACAATGATGGAAATGTATGGTGTGTACCATCTTTGAATCCCCTGCAAGTTTTCGACAGGCAGCTGTAGCAAGGCCTGCATTGGCCAAGCTGACTCCGTCAAATGCATCAAGCCTCTGTGAACTCAAACTCTCTTTACTTGGGCGCGAGGAACCTGAACTCAAAATCAGAAACTCCACCCCAAAGAGTGCACTAAACAATGCCCTCGACTCTCAGCTTCCAAGGCTACACCGCTGACGAATAGGAACCCCGCCTATGAAGCACAAAACGCACTGAAGTTACAAATTTGACATACTGCATGAGGCATGCGCCTTAATTGAAGTCTCTGCGGCCCTTGCTGAGACCCCTTAAGTCCCAACCCTGACAGCACCTCGACCTCCTCGTTGCGGGCCGTCTGTCGGAGCTCGAAGTTCTTGAGGAGGAAGTCGCAAGCTGAGGAGTGCGTCTTTGCAAGTTCTATGGGTTGCGGGTCTTAGAAGAAGGCATCCAGCCTTGTCAACTGTGAATCTATCAACACTGCTAGGTACATTGTCATTGGAGACGTGAGCTTGAATTCCTCAATCAAGCCGTGACCACCTGGGCCCTCAAACTCATGCTTCATGTTTATCGTTTAGGTTGTCAGCGGTAGACGAAAATCCCGAAAGCTGCTTAAACCTGCCTGCCTAAATAAGATAGTCCTCCTTAGCAGACCCCAGGAAAGGAGCCTTATAGGATGCTTGGATGCACGGGAAAACGACCCTGGTGCTAATGTATACCCATACATGCACTTGCTGCCGGAAACCTTTCTCATACTATAGTAGTTTAAATTTTGCTTTCCATTATCCCTATATGACCCCAATTCCTTTTGCCTAGTCTCGCCCTATCACAAAACAGTCGCAGTTGTCGGAATGCTCTGGGTCCCCAGCTCTCATGGAGGTCGGCCTGGCTGGGGGTTTCTACAAATTGCGGGCCCTGTTGTACATATACATATATGTATGAGGGTAATAAGGGTTTAAAAGTGGGTATATAGGGATGGGTATATATGGATGATGGAAAAGAAAATTGAAGTTACTAGGTAGGGTTTAGGGTGTGATAGGGCCCTTGTGGGTGCATACCTCCTTGCCCTTTGGGGCATATAGGTTTGAGGAATTCCATGAAGGTTAAGAGAACCGCCAAAAAAGTACTTTGCAGCCTTTGCATTCCCTCATCCCCGACCTGGCCACGAATCCTCAACAACAAAACGTCAAGCATCAGGGAAACAACAAAACGTCAAGCATCAGGGAGAACCCACACAGCCTCTTCCACTGCCAAGTCCGCAAGCTCCTTTGTCCCAGACATCAGCGGCTTTTTGTTGATACTTCATCCCACGCAGCACATACCATATGTACGATCACCAACTTCACCTACAGATCTAGGTAGGCGCTCCATGAACGGGGCCAAGAAAAGCATCCAAAACACAAGGGGCACAACACAACTGAACATCGCTATGGGGAATCCCAACCCGGATTCTGGATTTCACGAAAAAACAAGCTTCCTGTTGAAGATCCTGCTAACACTGACTTCCACACACCCCTAAAAGCCTATGAGCTATGCCTCGCGGATTTAGGGAACCCCAAACCCTAAGCCCTCCAGAGTCCAGGATGGCCATTACTATTACTATTCCTATTACTCTTCCTATTACTATTACCATTACTTTGACTATTACTATTACTATTACTACAACCATTCCTGGTATAGTACTATCACTATCACTATTACTCTTACTGTTCTGCAGGTCCTTCTTGGTGCCCTTCAGGTTCGCCTTCTCGGAGACAACTGCCTCCTGGCTGCTTGCCTGCGTCTCACAGCTGGGATCCGATGGAAGAGGCTGTAGGGATCATGCAATGCAGGCTGTTTCCCAAGATACGGATGTCCATATAGGAGCCAGTTCTTGACGGACTTCATTAAAAAAATCATCGTCAAAACTGCAAGCTGTGCCTGAAGCTCAGGTGTAGTTCTAATGACAACTTGCTCCTTAGCTGCCTTACCTGTCTGCACGCATTCTCCTACCAAACTGTCGCTGTCCCAAAAAAACCGGAGCTTGTGAAGGCCGTTGACCCTTAATCTTCTCATCCCTGTTTCCATTTCATGTTTCATTGTTGTTTTTAGATGATTCTCCTTTATTGGTAATCATTTAGCGCTGCCTTGACCTTGGCCAGGCTGTCCAGCTCACCATTCAGGGCCGCAATGTCTGCATTGGTGGCCTTCGGAGTCGAAGTTGTCGGGGTCTGGGTTTAGGGCTTCGGCTTCAAAAGGAGGGTCTAGCTTTGGACGACTACTGGTTTGGAGATCGCCATGGCAAGCGCAGATCTGCGAAATGGACAGATCATTCCATGGCAGGCAGATCTGACAGAAGATGGTGGAAGATTGTGCACAACCTAAAGGGTAAGTTCTGCCCAGACCTGCTTCTCACAACCAACTCTATCCACAAACTCTCTCAAATCCAAAGTCCCTCGAGACACAAACCCGCGGCACAAAACGAAAGCATTGCACTGGCCAGAACAGTGTTACCAGGCACAAGGCAGACTTCCAAGCTGGTCTACTCTAGCGCTGAAGTCCTTCTGAGTCTGCTCTAGACACTTCTTCGCCCCAAACATCCCAAAACCCTGGACCTCGAGCCAATCATCCGCATTGTCATCACACTACCCCTTTTCCTACACCACAGATATATGTGCCTCTTGGCCAATTGAAGACTCAAGCCATTATTCAGCCCAGCCAAGTTTCATTGAAAGCCTTGGTAGTTTCCCAGCATGGGCGGACCCCAATATAGACCCCAATATATTCTAGTCCTCATTATTGGGGACCCCCAAATTGATACCGCATGATTTTGGGAACCGCTAAACCCCAAACCCTACATATCCTTATCATATCCCTATAGAACCCCCATATCCCCTTTAAAGGTACCCTAACATCCCTATAATATAACCCCGCAAATCCGTTGCCAAGCCACATCCAGCAGCTTGCAATATAACCCAGTATATAGTAGTTTCCATTTTCTTTCCCATCATCCCCTATATAACACCCTATATACTTATAGTAGTTTCCATGTTCTTTTCCATTATCCCCTATATAACCCCTAAATATTGATAGTAATTTCCGTTTTCTTACATCCACCCCTAAACCCTAAACCCTATATCCTTGGCCAAGCCACCTCCAGCAGCTTGCCATATAACACAGTATAGTAGTTCCCATTTTCTTTTCCATTATCCCCTATATAGCTATCCAACCCTAAACTGTATATCCTTGGCCAGGCCACCTCCAGGAGCTTGCCATATTGCTTCTCTGCGGACTTCTTAGCTCGCTTCGTCTCGGCCTCCATGGCCTGGCAGAAGGTTTTGGTGGGCATAGGAGCTAGAGTCCAAACTCCTGAAAAGGGTGGATTATATAGGGGATAATTCTATAGGTGACTAATATAGGGGTTACTAAGGGGGATGGTAGGAGTTTAAGTTAGACTGTGGCTCATATGAGCTACAAGATGACGTGTCCAGCGTTTGGTCGATGGACCTGAGGGCTTGCTGGGGAGCTGGCCACCGCTGGTAGCAACAATGACAATAGGAATCTTGCAGTGTTGATTTAGTGTAGGTCCAGCCTATGTGCAGGCCCGCTTGAGCAAAAGCAGTGTGAGTGGTATTGTGGGATTTCCACATCTTTAATGTTATCTACTTGAACATGACTGCTGGCCTCTGGTGCCCAGGTCTGTGGGGAATAGTGCGATTGCTCAAAGTGAAGCACAACCAGCCGGGGCTGTTCTTCTGTTGTTCACTACATCTCTTTCACATGAGATCTGCCTTAGTTCTTGCCGTCCCACAAAGAAGATCCGAAATCCCGTTTAGAATCGAAAGGGAAAATCTCAAGGTTGAGGAAGTTTCATGTTGCAGCCGGTCACTTCCATAACCAACTGCCAGAAACAAGCCAAGACGGCATGAGATGGTGGCCGGTGGTACTCTGACGATCACTACACCCGGGGCCCTGTGTCGAGAGCTGCTTTGTCTCCAGACCCTAGACCCTAGCTAAGGGCATACACCCCAAAGCTTCCTGCCTTGGTGTCCAGGATCACCTTCTGCCTTAGTTCTTCCACCAGGATACAAGTTAGAGAAAAGCGCATCTGGCGTGCCTCCAGACAGGCAACAAAGCATGGTCAGAAGGATGAAAGTGTGGCGGTGGCGGTGGTGGTCACGGTGTTCGTGATGGCCACGGTGGTGGCGGCAGTGCTGTTTGTCAGTTCTGCTCTTGCGGGTTCATTCTTACAAGGCAAAGTTGAAAATTGTGCTGCCAGGCATGTAAGGTGCAGGAGCTGGGTCACAGCGTTGCCGTTGCTGCTCTTCTTGTAATCCTTGAAGCCCTGGCAGAAGATTTGGGATGTCTCACGCTTGGGGGTTGCTCAGGATACATGAACTATCGCGCTTCATACAAGACGTAGCCGAGGTCTGGTAAGGGCTTTTGCAGATCTCTGGTCACGATGATATTCTTGTTGCTGGTGATGGTGATAACGGTGATGATGAGGATCATCATCATCATCATCATGATCATATTGACGTTGTTCTTACCAGCATGGTTGCAATTGAGAGGGACTGTTTTCTGATGATTCCCCCTGATTTCGTTTCTCATGCTAAGTACCAGCACCTCGCAGCTGCCAAAACAAAATCAATTGCGTCTGAACCCTAAGGCTATCCAAGTCTGAAACCCTGAAAGCATGCTTTGGCTTCAAATCCGTGTGAAACGAGGAAATGCTTCAAACAATCGTGTAACACCACATATCAAGAACTTTCAGTGACCACTGACCGCCTCCGGGACGGTGTCTGCCGAGGGCTTCTGCAGAAGAGACTTCTTGGCAGGCTTCTCCACGTAGAAGGCCTTGAGGGATCCGATGGTCGTATTTGCATATTGGGATAATATAGGGTAATATAGAGAATATTGGGATAAGGGAAAATAAAATGGAAACTACTATAGGGTTTAGGGTTTAGGGTGGTTTCAAGGACTCTGGCGGTAAGACCCTACAGGCTTATGATACGCGCATCAAGGGGATGTCATAGCTTCAAATGAAACACGTCTACTAGAGCTGACTTCATGCCAATGAGGTAGAGGCTGCTGTGGTGATGCGCAAACTTTGAAAGGATCATGTCAATGTCTGATGATGAGCTATAATCTCACCTCCTAGTATCCCCCTTGAAAACCCCTATAATAATCCCTATAGAATCCCCTATATACCCCCTTCCAGGAGGTTAGACTATGGCTCATGTAGGGACGCATGGATAAGGACAGGTTGTAACTGTCGTGGCATTAACCCTGTGTGCCTACCCGAACAAGCCAGTAGCCATAGTCGAACACGCACCCTGTGGAGTCCTCTTCAAAAGTCACATTACTCCAATCTTCTGAAGTGTTGGGTGACTTCACCCAAGTGGCAGTTGTTGCAGTGGAGCTTTGCAATGCTAAAAGATGCCATATTAGCTGATGGCCTTGCCCTCGCCAACAATGCTAGCTTGATGCCTCGAGCTGCCAAACCAGGATGTGGGATGTTCAAATCCAAATCTCCTAGCCTCACAACAACATCACATGCCCCAAACATCACATCACTCGACATGAACGATTCAAGGTTTCGGGCTGGACAGCTCCCTGCTTTCCCGGGACCCTGAATGATGAAAAACAAGAAGCAGTGAGAGTATACTGTTTGAATCCTTGTATCCCCACGCGGCTACCTTACTGTGTTGATAACCCTTGTGTGCCTTCAGGCTGTCCAGGGCATCGTTCAGGATGACCTCTCTCAGCATTGCATCCAGGATTGTGGATGGGGAGCTTAGAACTCTCAGGGATCCAGTACGGGCCTCAGGAAAATTATGGCTTCGCTACAAAAGCTCTACGAGGAGAATCCTCGGCAGTCTGGATCCTGCGTCTTGCGCTTTCGAGGCTGCAGTGAGCGGGAAGGGCCTGATTCCCACAATGTGGAGCTGAGAGTCATGGCAGAATGGATCCATCTTTGTGGTTCAGGATCTCGCAAAAACCGTCAAAGATTTTGCGCGCGATGTGCTTGCAAGTACCGGCGACCAGTCACAAGCCTGAACTTACCAATGGAGCTTCGACGTGGTACCTGCCTCCGGCTGTCCCTCAGCCACCGGCGGCTCTTGCATCATGGAATGTTGCAGCACCAATGTGATGATTTCTACCGAGGCCTAAGCCACTCCCCCAGGTGAAGCAGAAATAGCCAGAGCACTAACAAGCAGAGAGATGGCTACTGCTCTCGGCAACCCAAGTGCCTTGGTGGTGTTCTGATCCGACCTTGGATTCGGCTTGGCAGGGGTCCCCAGAAAGAAGATCAGTCTCCGGAAACCTCTTCTGCAAAAAAAGCATCAACATGTTCTCAGAATAATATGATAGCAGATGCCACTATTTCTTGGGAGCCTAGACTTCGAAATGCGTAGGCTGCATGGTTTCTCCCACGAGAACATTTTCTCGCAGACTCTGCGAGAGCCGTCTGCCACAGCCTTTCCCAGCGAGCCCTATGCACAGGCATACCTTTGAGATAAGAAAACCTTGGAGCTCGCCCTTGCTATGAAGTACTATGAAGACCCTATAGGCTTTGCCAGCCAGAGCGCAAGGTGACATTGAACTCTGCCAGCTCATCCTCATGCTCCTGTGCGTAGGGGGGTTCCTCAAGAAGGGGCACCTAAGGAACAAGGCGCATATGAGGAGATGCGTGGTGTCCCTCTTCAGGATTGTATAGGGGCAGCTTTTGCATTCAGTCAACGCTGGGCGCACATTCTGCAGACTGTCGAGGACTTTGGGTTGAGAGAGGCAAGCTTCTCAAAAGCTGCGGGTCCCTTCTCAGCTCTCGAGTAGGACTCCTGGTTCGGCGTGCAGTGGCACCCTAACGGTGCAAAATGCCCCATACACACAGGGAGCTGGTCATTAGGAAGGTCCTGCATAAGATTTGCATACTACGCGCTACTTGCTGTTTGTGTGATTCTTAGCTCTGACTGAGCAGGATGTTGTGCAAAGTGAAGATTCATGAGCGTTCGAGCTGTTCTAGTGCGCATGATTATCATCTCTAAGATTCCGCTCTCCAGCTCTTTGCGGGCCTGACCTGCAAGGGGGTAGGGGGCATATGGGGGATATTTTGGGATAATGGAAAAGAAAATGGAAACCACTATTTCGGATTTAGGGTTTAGGGCTTAGGGTTTTGGATGGCTTTCTTTTGGTAGATGGGGACATTGGCAACTGCTCAGGCTCGAAAGCAAAGAAAACAAGTGCTAGCCGAAGCCATGGGACTGTTTGCCAAGCAATCGAGAATGCTTCTACTAAC